ATTAAAACTTTGACTGTTTAAAGCTTAGGAGAAGAGAAAGTGGAGTAAAGAAGAGAGAGTGAGTATGCGGCAGAATCTCGCCGAGTGCGGCCAAACCACGACGGAGACCGCATGGTGGGGGCGGTGTTCCCACCATTCACCATGGTAAAACCACAACCAAACAGTAGCCAAACTGTGTAGTCTGAGGACGATCTATCGTGCCTTGAATGTGTATAGGTTATAATGTTCTTTTGAAAAGCTGACGACATGCAGCTACTCGTGTAAACACGTTAACTGAAACCATGTGTCATAATCATTGTCAGAATGCATGTTTCTTGCTATCATAAAAAGCGCATCAGAAAAGATAGCCCAAGAAAGATGATTGCAACTGGTCATGAAAAGCGTATGCGTCAGACTTATGCTCAGAAAGCGCATCTTGATAGTTGTGTCACAGAAAACGTGTGTATAGATGTATGCATGTATCGGAAACTATGCATCTCTAAGAAAGCATGTTTGTAAGATTTGAAAAGGTGTGTCCGAGGTCGCATCCATCAGAAAAACCGAAGAAGATGACATAGTGCAGAATGTAGATCCAAAATCAATCCGACGACATAGTGCATGTCCAGTAGTGGTGGGATGAGCTATAATGGTTTTCAGTGGAGGCAATGAAGGAGACATGTTTGGAGAAAAACTAAAGAAGATGAAGCTAAGGCGTTGTTCCATAATGTAACCTTTGAGTTCCAATTATGTTTTTCCACTCTTTAATTAGGGGTTTTATAGTTCATAATAAAGGAGAAGGATGAGGCAAACCAGGAAACCATTAATCGCGATCGATGGAATTTGAGATCTGGATTTAATTGCGGGGGGACCCAACGTGTTTCTTTTTGGAAAGACGTGCCTGGCCCATGGTCCGAATGATTCTTTTAGGGTTTTAGGGGTATTTAAAGGCCATGTATCCGTAGGGATAGATCATTCTCAACCTCCATCACCCCTTAAGCGATCTTTCAGAAACTTTAATCTACTCCCTCTTGTTTTGAGCTTGGTTTCCATTTGTGATCTCATTTTCCTTGGATTGATATGAAGCTTAAAGATCAAAGGTTTTCTTGTGTGCATTGAAGGAAGGCTCAAGTGTAGATCCAACAAGGTTGCACATTTTGTAGACCTTTGTACATATAAAGCTTCAATCTTTCTATTTGAATCATTAGATATTGTCATGTTTCTTGTTATGCTGTTTTTTGGTCCCTTTTGTTGGTGGCTTTGGAGTTGAAAGAACTCCAACACCATTTAATCACTTTTGGATGCTCCTTGGACCTCTTGGACTAAGAAAGTTGAGGTCTTTTTCTCTCCCTTAAAGCCATGCAAGTTTGTTAAGAGTTTTAGATCATTTTAGAGCGTAAAGTTTAGATCTTGATTGCTTAGGGATGTCTTAATGGATAAAGGTGGAAACTTTATTCATCAATACCTTATTAAAGATCAGATCTGGGAGTTAGAGCCTTGAGTTAATGGATCAAGTCATTTCACCTTGTGATAAAGGTCTAGATGCGACGCGACATTCCTTGGTGCGTCACACTTTTTAAGGTTTTCAGAGGCGTTTCTGTTTTAGCTTGAGATCCAGATTACTTTGTTGGTAGTGGGTGCGAAGTGCCCGTTTGACAAGATGTTGATTTTTTGAATTTTTGACTAAGTTTGAATTTAGGTCAAACTTTAAGGTTTTAGGTCATAGAGTGAGGTTTGACATTTTATTTAATGTTTAGGTGGTTTGTAGTACCAAACTTCACATTTCCTACGAGCTATGGTGATATCCGATTATCCTTAAGGTGAGTGTTCTCATTATGCTATGTAGGGCACGAGATGTTAATGTGTATGCTTGTTGTCTTTGTGACTCTTGCTAGTATGTTTATGTGCTTGTTAGGCGATGCCTGTTTATGTGCTTTTTGGGAGAGGCCTGTTTATGTGCTTCATGCACATGGCCCGTTGATCTTCTATGTTGGGCGGGTCCCATTATTCTGTACATGGTCCAATACTCATGGCGAGGCTTAATATTCTATGATGTTTTGGTATCTTGGGGAACTCACTAAGATTTATGCTTACGGTTTTAAGTTTAAATTATTTCAAGTTTTCTGGTAGCAAAGAGAAGGGCACGGATAGATTGACACGCATCCGTTAGAGATTTCCACACTTAATAATGTAACGTTCAAAACTTGAGGTACATTTTAATCTATCAAATTTTGAATTTTAGAAGTTGCCACGACATGGTGAAGGATCGCCATGACGTGGCGAGTCATTTTTGAGTCATGAATGGATTTGACGCGCCATGGCCTGGCAGGTATGGGCCACGATGTGGCCGCCGCTGATGACTAAACCCTACATTTTCGGGCTTTGCGGCCTATTTAAAGGAATAAGGAGGCTATGGTTTGCTCACCCTCAGCCTCCAACCCGCCTCCTAAAGTTCGGAAGAAACCTTAATATCCTTCCTCCATTGTTGAAGCCCTTTTTGTTCTCTTGGAAGTCTTTTGAAGGAAGAAGGAAGAGGAAGTGACCAAGATTCAGCAAGAAAGTCTTCATTCTTTGTCCTAGCACTCTTGTGGACCTTTGTAAGTGTCCCAGACTCGATTTTTATCATGATAGGTTGCTAGATCTTGAGTTTTGTCTCTTAATCTTCATATTCTAGTTAGTTGGAGTGGTGAGATCTCATAAAGTTTGCAACTTTATGAATCTTTGGATCTTTTGGTATGATTATGGTTTTGGATCTGAAGTATAGTTGAGTTTTTGAGCCATGCATGTAATTCTTATCAAAAACCCTTATTTTTGACTCTTTATGGCTTCAAGACATGCATGTCCATTAAACACCGACTTTCATGATGGTTTTGGTACTAAAAACCCTTCTGGAGTAAATGAGCTAAGGACTTTGTAGAGTAAGTGCTTAATGGGTGAATCCATGTCTTATTTAATCTCTTTGGAACCTAGGGTTTGAGATTTTGACGCTTTTGGGTGACCTTAATGGATAAAGTTGGAAACTTTATCCTTCTAGACCATGTTTCAGACCAGATCTGAGCTTTGGAGCTTTGGGAATCGAAGAAAACAGCTTAACCCGTTAAGCTGTTGGACGCCTAGTGCCCACGACATAGATTTAGGTCGCCACGACATGGTGACTGAGAAAATCGTGACTGTCTCGAAGTATGAGGGCCACGGCTTGGCCATGGATGGCCATGACGTGGCGGTTGACTAAAGTCAACATTGACTGTTGGCTTTGACTGTTGACTTTTGGCTTGAGTTGACTTTTGGTCAAACACCTAGTTTTGGAAGAAGAGCTAAGGGTTTATCTGGTTTATCTGTATAGGTGGAGCATAACATCGGTATTCTGGAAGTGAGAGCAGTAACAGTTGAGCATTGATTGAGAGGTGAGTCCTCTCTCCCTACTTGTGGGTCGAAGACACCAATGTCGACCCACTGGATTGTGCTATGTAGGATGCTAGCTATCTTTGTGACTCTTACATGTATGATTGGGTTGAAAGAAACCCTAGGGCTGGGCGCATGTATGTTTGATTGGGTTGAAAGAAACCCTAGGGCCCGACGCATGTATGCATTATATTAGGTTGAAAAATACCCCAAGACTGGGCCCATGATTATATGTTAGGTTGGAATATACCCCAGGGCTGGGCTCAATTGTATGTATGGTATGTGGTATTTTGGGGAAATCACTAAGCTTTGTGCTTACAGTTTATGTTTATGGTTTCACGTACTTTCGGTACGAAAAGGAAGGCCCCAACGTATGACACGGCATCCCCCTCATGATTCCACACTTATGATTATTTTTACTCTAATGATTTGATACTTTGTATTGTGGTTGACTTTGAGACATATGATGTATGGAACTAATGGTTTTAAAAATAAAAAAGAAATTATCATTGTTTTTGGGATGTTACAAATAACTCTTATGTTTTTACTCCGATTAATCTTTTGAAACAAATGCTTTTATTTTAGACCTGTAAAGTTGGACTTTGAACAAATGTTGTTAATATTAAATGAAAATTTTGCGGCAAAATTTGGGACGTTACACATAGGTTCCGGGGACATTAAATTTTAGATCAGGGCAGTTGTCATGTTATGCTTGGCTGCTAAGACGATCCAATTATGTTCGGTAGTGATGTATGGTTAGACGTTGTGGCAGCGGTTGCTGAGGATTTAATGATTTAGGGGGGAGAGAGAGAGAGAGAGAGAGAGAGAGAGAGAGAGAGAGAGAGAGAGAGAGAGAGAGAGAGAGAGAGAGAGAGAGAGGCCATACTTTTATTTATTCATTTTAATTTATTAATAATTATAAGAACAATAAAATAATTAAAAAAATAAATTTATAAGTATATTATAGTCACTCATTTCTGATTTGGGACGTAAAATACAACAAATTTATGCCACAAGAACGGTCCTGAATACAAAAAAGAAAGTTAGGGACAAGACACAAGGTTTTAACCAAATCGTACCCGCGATTTTAGTAACTTAGTCTATTTCTTTATGATAAAAAATGAAGTCTAAGTACTTTAAAATTTGAAGTCCAAAGTTTAAACTGTGTTTTGCTAAATAAATTAATATCATAGTAAAATCAAATCATTCTGTAGATTACTTTTGTATTATTATTCTTTGCTTAAGCCATATTATATATGGGAATACGTGGGAATGATGCAACCTAAAAGAAGCATTTGTGGGCACCACAAATTTATATTTTTATAAGAAAAAGAGGAGTCCTTGCTTGATCGCTTTCATCCAATTGCTGGACATTCTGACTCAAGCAACACATGCAACACTGGGATTTCACTGCATCACTCCGTCCAATTGTAAAATTCCTTGGTAAATTTATTTTGTAATTAATATTATCCGCTTAAGATTTTATTATTTGTGGGAATTACTTAGGGATGATGCAATCTTAAAGTGTCTTTTGTGGGTACAACAAATCAACTCCATCTTTCTATATAATTATGTAAGAAGATGGAATGCGATCGACAGAAACGGAAAAAACTCATACAAATATGGCAAGCTCAAGCTTTAATCCACATGTCACACTCGAAGTTGGAGAAGAAGAATACCCATATCCATACCCATCAATTCTTTCTGCAGCAAGCTTTGTAAGTGTGAAGCTGAGTGGTAGGGACAAGTATGCAATGTGGCAAAAACAGATGCTATGTCTCTTAAAGAGTCATGAAATGGTTGGTTTCATTGATGGGACGTTCGTAAGAAGTACTGAAACCAGTGTTTCCGGGAAGGAGAAAGTGGGTGACCATCAAATTCACAGGCTGTGGGCAAGATCAGATGCTCTTGTCCAAGGTTGGATCCTTGGTTCTCTATCTGAACAAACACTTGGCTATGTTATGCATCGACTCACAGATATTGCAGATTTTAGTGCAAAACATGTATGGGATGAACTCCATAGTATGTATGGTCCTGTTGTTCTTCCACCACTGCCTATTGCTACAGGTACTATATCTTTTTTACACTACTTAATACTCATAGCTTTTACTATATAATCACCAAAAAAAATTATTCAACCAAACACCTGTTGAAACAAAGAAGGTGATATTACGTATCTAGGGAAAAAAAGGTATGAGTGGTGCTAAAATAGATCAAGGATGTTCCCTGTTCTTTCCTCCTTACCCCCCTCCTCCTCGATCTGCAGATATGCATCTCATTGTTTTTTTTCTTCCTCCTTTCAAATCCCTGAAAGTTAGATTTAGATTAGTTTGGACTACACCACATATTTTCTCCACCTATTAATTAGTTTTTTGTTACCTTCATTACTAAATGTAGATTTCGATCAACAAGAAGAAGAAACAAGAACAAGGGTACACCATGCTTTATATCACGCTACTCTAACAGGATATTCGAATCACATTGATAACGTTTTGAGGAGAAATAAGGAAGTTACAGTGATAGACAAAATCATTAACAATGGCAACACAGCAATTCATATAGCAGTTGGTACTTCCAAGACGCCAGGATTCTTAGAGTATTTGTTGGAACTGACACCGGAGAACACACAACTACTGGATGTGCGGAATTCAGATGGAAGCACGCTACTTCATGTTGCTGCTATTGTTGGCAACACTGAAGCTGCTAAGATCCTGGTGGCAAGGGACCCACATTTGTTGTTTGCCAAGGACAACGAGGGTCACACACCACTAGCCATAGCTCTTTCTAATATGCATACCCAGACGTCTCAATTTCTGCTGCATCACGATATTGGCATAAAGAAGGATACTTTGTTTTCCGGCAAAAGTGGTGATCACCTTCTCGTTATTGTTATTTCTTCTAAAGATTTTCGTAAGTGTCTATAAAATCAAGATTCGAATATTAAGAAAAAACCAATACGGCTAACTTTAATTTGATATATGTAGGCTTTGCATCTGTTTTGCTGCGGCGTTACACAACATTGCATAGTGACTCTGTGTTAATGGCCATAGCACAGAATTTCCCATGCAAACCCAATATATGTAGGTTTGTTGATTTTGCGTGCTTCTTTGTCTTATCAGATTAATTGTAACTTGTAAGACCTCTCTAATGAACTTCCTGTACATTTCTATGCTGAAGGGACTTATAATATACCTACTAGCGTAGTTCTCAGTACAGCCGCAGATTATATTATTCCACTATGTGGCCATCGGCTGGAAATAATAATGAGGCCATTTATTCTTGGTAGGTCATGAGTTCATATCATGTTCGATAAATATTTGTTGTGTTGTACTTGCTATCTATTACTAACAACCCATATTGAAAAAAAACTCATAATTTTTTTTGGTAAGTTTTAAAATTTCATAACCCCATAATTCTAACAAATTTTCTATTGCGTAATGCAGTGAGTTATTGGATTGTTATGCTTTTCCCAGTAATCCTTTTGATGTTAGGTAAGATGATTCAACAATTACGGTCATTATATCACCAAAAGTACAAGAGAAGAAAGTCTATTTATTTGCTTGTGATGCTTTGCAGTGTCGCTATTCGTGAAAGAGAGATTGCGAACTCATTATGACGCTATCATGCTGTTAAAAAGTGTATGTTTTTTATTGAAGAAACACACAGACCCGAGCCCTTATTACACAAATCCGATTCTTGAAGCTACAAGACAGAATGCATACAAAGTTGTAGAGGAGGTTGTGTCCCACTTCCCAAATGCAATTTGGAGTACCAATGAAGATGGTTATAATATTATTCAGTATGCTGTGATAAGTCGCTCAGAAGAAGTTTACAACCTAGTTTATCAAATGAGCGAACATAAGAATGTCTACAGAACAATCAAAGATTCTTCTGGGAACAACCTCCTGCATTTGGCTGCAAGATTGGCCCCGTCCAACAAACTGAATCTTATATCAGGTGCAGCTTTACAGATACAACGTGAATTACAATGGTTTAAGGTACAGAAATATCTTATTATTCAAAAGTTGAATTTTATGCCACCTACATATAATGTTTTAAGAAACAAAATTATTTACGGATTGTAATCTTGTAGGAAGTTGAAGGATTTGGATGTCCTTTGAACATTATACAAAAGAACTCTTTTGGCGAAACACCTCATATGGTGTTTACAAGAGAACACAAAGACTTGGTGGTTGAGGGTGAAAAATGGATGAAGGCCACTGCAGAGTCATACACAATTACAGCTGCATTGATCACCACGATTGTGTTTGCAGCAGCAATTACTGTCCCAGGAGGAAACAATCAGGACACAGGCATACCACTTTTTACTAACATCATTGCTTTCAGAATATTTGCAATATCAGATGCCATCTCATTATTCACGGCTGTTACTTCATTGTTAATGTTTTTGTCTATTCTGACTGCACGTTTTGCTGAACAAGATTTTTTGTTCAAGCTTCCTACAAAGCTGATAATTGGTTTGGCCACCTTGTTCATCTCAACGACAACCATGATATTAGCTTTTGGTGCAACTTTGTATCTGGTGTTTGGACAAAGCAACTCAAAGATTATCATTCCAATTGCCTTGCTCACATGCCTACCAATTACTTCTTTTGTAACTCTGCAGTTCCCTCTTGTCATTGACTTGATCAAAGCCACATATGGTCGTAGTATTTTTGGTAAGAAAAGAGATAAGCCCTTCTATTAGATTTTTCACGATAATAGAATAACGGACTAAGTATAGTTGAAAAGTGGTAGAAAATACTCAGGTCATTTTGGATTTGATATGTGTTGGTCCTTACTATGTCAATTTGGAATTAAAGATCAAATCATTGTAAAGGTTATTTTTAGCAGCTCAAAAGTATTATATATATAAAAAAATAAAGTCAATGGAAAAGAGGCATGAGTACATGAAAAAGGAGAACAACAAGAATCCTTTAACAAAGAAGAAAAAAACTATACAACTACAGCGAAAAAACACCGCAAAGTAAACTGTTGAGTATAATAAACTGTAGAGTATAAAAGATGCGATAAACACACAATAAAGATGCGAAGAAAAAAAGTAAGAACATATAAAGATTTATGTGGTTTACATGGTCAAAGCAATCATGTTAATCCACATACAAACTAGAGAGATTTTATTAGATGCATATAATGTAACGCCTCTGGTACAAGTACTAGAAAAGTGTTTATCTTTTAAAACTAGGCGAATCTCCGCGCGTTGCGCGAGAATAGAATTATATAATTAAAATAATAACTTTTACCAAATTATTATTTAATATTTCTACTTTGAAACAAAATGTTAGTAGTAATGCAAACATATAGTTAACATATTAGTTTTATTAAACATTATAGTTTAATTTTTAAGTCATTGTGATATATACAATTATTTGATAATTTTTAACCGTTTTAAATTGTGTAAAATATATATCAAATGAATATAATATAACGGGTAACAAAACGTATGAACAAAAATATGAATTGCAACTTTTTGTAATATAAAAATAGAAAAACATCTATTATAACATTTGTATTAAAAAAGATATATATATTCAACGAATAATAAAAAATATGAAAAATAAACACTATAACTTTTAATAACATAAAAACACTAAAACATCTATTATAACATTTATATTAACTCTTCATATTTAAATCACAAATCTCTTCAAATCCATTAATGTTTTTAATGAGCAAAACTTTACAACCTTATAAAAGAAAGGAAAATAAAAAGTTATTAGTGATTACTAATTAATAATCATAAGTTATAAACTCTTTAGTTGTAACTAATAAATATACATAATATATAAAACTTTTGAGTTGTAGTGTGAGTTTCAAATGAATGCGGTACTTGGAAATGTGTATTTATTATTATTATTATTATTATTATTATTATTATTATATTCGTCTAAATAATTGGTTTTGATTCATCATTTTAATCTCTTCAATTATTAAACATAAAGATATTTAATTATAAATTTAAGTACACTAGGTGCTATACATGTTAAACAAAATAACATATAATATATAGATTTTTTCGTAAATGTCATATGTAATTCTTGTCGTAGTAATATGGATAAATTACTTTCATATGAAGAACATATCATGATAAGTCTATCATAATTACATATCAAATGTTCAAAATCATGTTATCTTTTAAATATTGTCTTTTAAATATGTGTGTAGGATCACCCAACAAAAAAATAATAGAAAATAAACTAATCAAAATAGAAAAACTACAATCAAATTAATAAGAGCATTGGGTGGTTGAATATATAAATAAAGATGTTACATAAACATAAATTTAAATCAAAAGAAAAAACTAACATTCATCAACTTTGCTCAAACAAAAAAACCTATATCCATTTTATGAATCTTCTTTCTTCATTTAACACCATTCAACCATAGAATCTTGATGACAATTCTTAAACTAACCTGCAATCAAAATATTTTCTTTGAAAAAGAAGAATCAGAAAGATATTCCAAGCAAAACATTGATGTTTGGAGAGTCACATTCAAGATTGAGTAATACACACAAATCACATATAAATATTAAATGAGAAACTGAATATAAAGAAAGAATAGAAAAGCTTCATTTGTTTTGGTTGAAAGAAAAAACCATATTACAATTACCATCGATGCGACATAACCCATTTCTTCAAATCATCATATTTGGATCGTGAATGCTTCAACTATATGAAAAATTTTGAATCACAATACTTCAAATCCTTCTTACATGTAAGATTTTTATATAACACAAAAGACACAAAGATTGCCTTTTTATAGTAAACTTTTCACTAAATGCTAATTAAACCTAATATAAGTTATAAAAACTTTGAGTGTTAATCATAATAAGAAAACTTTTGAGTTGCATTAGTAAAAAAAGGGGGTTTCAATGAATTGGTTTGAGGAAGTTAAAAAAGGCGGTTTCAAATGCATGAGATTCAAGAAAAAATGCTAGCTTTATAAGTATGTATGATCATTTAATATTTTGGAATATTTCATGCATAATTTGGCCCCAAAATATTAAAACACAAGGTTTAATTAAATCAAGTATGAGAGTATTACATTTAATATCATCAAACAATGGTATAAAGTGAACCATAGATCTCATTACCTGATAAATGTCCAAGCTTATACCAACCAAAGACTTCATCTTCATCTTCGAGTAGGGGTAAAAATAGTACATTAGGCTTGGGAAGCCTAGTGGGTCATTAGGCTTAGGAATCCTAATGAGTTATATCAGAATCCAACTACATGATGAAATTGGGTAATGAAAATAACCAACTCCAAGGTCATGATTTCCAAAAACATTTGTAAAAACATTTCATAAATATTAAACCATTTTTCAAAACAATTCCCAACAACATATAAGTTTATGAGTAGATGAATGGATATACAAATGATGCATTGCACATGAACCTAATCACAACCCAAAACTCTCTAATCTCAATTAAGACCTTCATATTCTAGTCTTTATTCACAATTAAGCTCATAACTAGCTTACAAAGATAGAAAGTGTTCCCTGGGTCAAGTGAGCCCATGAGTCACAATAAGCCCACATCTAGCTTATTATGAATGAAAAAGTGTTCACTTATCAAATAAGCTCATATCTAGCTTACAATAAGCACATATCTTATAATGTGGGAAAATGTTCCCTTTGTAAGTAAGCCCATGTCTAGCTTACAATGGGCCCATATCTAGCTTAAAAACTAAGAGAGAAAATGTTCCCTTTGTCAAGTAAGCCCATATCTAGCTTATAATAAACTCATATCTAACTTATAAATTATATAGAGGAAAAATGTTCCCTTTGTCAAATAAGGCCATATCTAGATTATGAAGAGGGAAGATGTTTCCATTGTCAATATTTAGATATTACATAAGTCTCAACCCAACCCTAATATGATACATACACATAGGGTGTTCAACTAACATTTCAAATCAATATAGCATTTTCTCAGTCACACATATTTAAAACTCATTTCATGCAAATGGATAAACATGCCATAGGGTTACGTAACAATCCATATATAATATATATATATATATATATATATATATATTTATATATATATATATATATATCTATATATATATAGCCATTCAAACAAGTGATAGAGGAAATGTACTTTAGGTAAGTACTCAACTAATCAACAAGTTGTGATGTAAATTTATCTTGCTTCGATGATCTAATAACCTCTTATTCAAC